TTTTTTTTTTTTTTTTTTTTTTCCTGAAGTAAAGCAGGGAAATGGCCCATTACTGTTCATTTTTTTTGGTGTTTGAGTTGAAGCTCGCTGCTGAAATATTGCATAGGGGAACCAACGGAGATAGGTTCCTTCAGCTGCCTTCTGGAGGAATTTGTACTTGCTAGTAAGCTGTGGCTGTACTGGATGTTCAGTTTAATTCTGGAATTCTTAAGCAGGGAAAGAAGAGGTTTCAGAAATGGGATTGTAGCAGATCGAGATAGGAGCTCAGATTTTGTTCTGGTCTCATGCTTGTACCTAACCACCAGGTTGAAGAACTTGGTGCTTGTCATGTCGTTCCAGTAGATCCCAGTTGTCTGCAGGTATTGGTCTCTTGCTCTGCGGGAATCCTGAAACTCTATCTGAACTCAGAATAGCTGTTACCAATCTGCTGGACAAACTGAGAGAAAAGCAAGGCTACCACAGGGAGCTGTTTAGAAGGACGTGCAAACAGATCTTGCTCAGAGTTGAGAGGCAAAGGAGAGGAGCAGAGTGCAGACGGCCAGGGGAACTGCAGGGGAGGGGACTTTCCCCTTTCAGCTTTTTGAGGTTTTTCTCATTACTGGCTGCAGCACAAATTAGATTTTCCATAGGAAAGAAAATCTCTTTGGAGTGCTGAGTAGGTGTTCAGTCTGTTTGGATTTGAGGTCCTGTAGTACAGACTGAGATTTTAATTTTTTTTTTCCTTTTTTGTTAATTTGTTCATACAATCAAGATAAATTAGTCAGAGTGCCCTGCTGGAGCAGGATTCTGTACTGCAGATTTGAATGCTCTTTATATGTGGATTTCATTATTTAAAATTAACTTTACATGAATAGAGGAATTAATTGCAGTTTCCTAAATTTCCTTTGCTGCCACATTATACTGACACAATTATTTTGTCCCCAATTTTCATGGCCATGTAGTTAGCATAAATAAAGGTCCATGACAAAAAGTGGAATGGTAAGTGGATCAAAGGATGTGCCAAGTTGCTATGGATACTTATTAATGATAATTTTTTGTTCTCATTAATATTTAGGAAAATTCTTACTGAATCCTTGTGAAATCTTCCCCCTTGGAGACACTCAAAAGCTGTCTGGACAGGGTTTTGGGCAACTGGCTCGAGGTGGCCCTGCTTGAATTTGGGGGTTTGGACAAGACCTCCCCAGGTCCCTGCCACCCTCAACCACTCTGATTCTGTGAAAATGAGCAACGGAACACAGATGTTTAATATAAAAAAAGGATCTGAAATGTGTGAATATGATCATAAATAGTGAATTAAGCAATTTGGTGATGTGATATTGAAAAGTGAAAAAAAGGCCAGTGCAACTTTGGGCTTGATGTGCAGTCAGGCTTGGCATCAGCTGACCAAGGGGATAAAAGTCCTTCTGATACAGCTGCATCTGGAATATGCCTTTCACTTCTAGAAACCCCATGAGCTAGGAGATGAGGAATGATTAGAGGATGCAAAGGAAAACTTTAGGACTGATAGTCTAGAAATACTAACGTGAGAAAATAGCTGGAAATCTTTGTGGTGTGTTGTCTTGCCAATAACATGATTCTTCTAACTTCCTTTTGGCAAACAAATTACTCTGAGGGTGATATAATGCACGGCAAATGCTGAAAAGCTGTTGCAGCCAATAAAGAATATGACAGGAAATTGGAAGATGAGGAATTTATTTTGAACATCAGGAAAAATTTCCTGATGAGTTTGGGTGACGGGAGGAGGGATACAGGGAAGGAGAAGTGTCTCTGCTTAATCAGAGAATTGCACCCTGCATCAGCCTGCTGTTAATACCTGCCACCGTGCTCTGATGGCCTGGATGCCACCAGCCCTGAGTGAAGGTTACTGTATTTGTCCCACATGTTCTACACCAGTGCCCATACAGCTGTGTTCAGTTACTATTTTTCACATATAATGAAAACTAATGGCAGTTACGTAGGGAAGTTCTCTACACACCCAACAGCAAGAAAGAGGACAATTGCTGCCTTCATTTCAGAGCATGTGTAGGTTCCGTTGCCCACCTTCTTATGTCATGTCTCACAGAAGCTGTGCTCTGGCTGTACTATGAGTAGCACTCAGCTGTGTAGCTCAGTCTCTTTTTTTTTTTTTTAATTTAAATATAGTGTGTGTACTTGTCTTTGTACACAGTTTTGACACAAAACACCACAATGTCAGCCTACTAGCAATTAATACCCATGTTTTGGAGAACTAGATGTTGAAAGGCATTTTCACCAAGTAAGGATGATGAATTTAATAAATTTTTTTCCCAAGACTTATAATGGTATCAACAATTCAAAATGAAAAAACAACTCTTCAGATTGCCAAAGACTCTTCAAGTACTCAAATTATCTTCCGATTATATCTTACATTGATTTAAAAAAAAAAAAAAAAATTCCTCCCAAGAACAGCACTTTTTTGTCTTTTTCTTAAATTCCTTGCTCATTGTGAAGCTGGTTGAGGATTAACTCTGTTTAGATCTATGAAATACTCCTCAATAAATCATTTATTTTAATCTAAAAATGAAATACTATCTCTCTACTTTTTCAAGTGCTCTGCATCTGCTCCAGTTAGGTAAAGAGAATGGAAAGGCTTTCATGAATTCCTGTGGTATTTGTATCAGACCTGTAAAAGGCCAATATAAAGAAAAAAATTGGGCTTCTCTATAGAGCTGCCTTACTGTTTGAATTTTATGTTCTGCTCTCCTACCATATAAGATACTTGTGTTGATTTTTTCAGTGTGTTATGACTCGCAAAGCTCCACTGGCAAAAATGCTTGGCCTTGTCTCACCTAACTGCATCTTGGCCTAGATCCTTCCATATTCTGTAAAGAGAAATGAGAATTTTCATCTAATGTTTGGGCAAATGCTTAAGAGAGGGATGATCATACTTCCAGATGTGCGCCTTTTTTTTTTCCTTTTTTTTTTTTATCTGTAGAGGCAGTCAAGGTGAAATGCTTTAGACTTCTGATTTTTAGACATCTGAAAGTAGTTGAAATTAATCTCATTAGAAAACCTAATAGGAAAATGGATCTTCAGTTCCTTATGCAGGTAACCCCTTCCTGTCTTAAAAAGGTATATTTTGGTAATAACCAAAGAAAAAAAGTTGACAACTTTGTTGGTTAAATTCCTCCTACCCAAGCTGACTTCAGTGTTTCTTACATTGCCGAGGTAAATTCACCTGTATTTTGTTTAGAGGAACCAGAAAACCACTTTTTATTGTAGAGTCTATGTGCATGGGTGTTGCATGAACTTATTATTTTTGCGGCAAAAGCAGTTTTACACCAGGAGCTTGGCTAAGAATTACCTTTTATTCCCCCTGGGATAACAAACGATTTCAGAAACTAATGAATTTTGCTGACTACTAAACTAGTGTGAAGTTTGCAAGTGAAAACTTTTTCTCTGCTGCTATTACTTTATTTCCAAAAATATTTTTTCTTTTCCAATTTCTTATGTTACCTATTTCAATCATTGGAATATGTGTTTCAAAAGAGTGGGAATATGAGTGACAAGGAAGAAGGAATAGCTGCTGCAATGTGTTTTTTCACAAAAATTTCAATGGTTGGTTCCAGTTGTTTCAAAAAGTTTCAATGCCGTGTCTTCCAGAGTTGATAATGCAGAAGATCCAGTGTATGAGAGCTTGGAAGAGTTCCACGTTTTTGTCTTAGCCCATATTTTGAGAAGACCAATTGTTGTAGTAGCAGACACAATGTTACGAGACTCAGGGGGAGAAGGTAAGAGTTTTTCATTAGAAATTTATGCACCTATGTAAATTGAATCGATCGTAAACTATCACAAACAAAAGTCCCAGCTGGAACGTATCTGCTCGTTTATGGGATAACTGCTGCCTTTTTCTGAGAGAAAAAGGAAGAGCAGAATGATACTTAATCCATTTCTGTGAGATAAAAGTAAAAAATACAGGATAATGATGTTAAGTCTCACTGAAAATCTGTTCCTAGATATTTACTATCAACTTCATAACCACCAAATTGCAGAACACAATACAATTCTTACTGGCCGTTCTGGTTTCAACTGGGAATAGTTAATTTTCTTTCTAGTGATGGCTGTGAAAGGAATGACATTAATGAATACTGGGTTTAGTTGTTGCTAAGTCTTATTTACACTATTCAAGGCCATTTTTCAGCTTCCCATAGAAGAACAGAGAGCACAAGGGAACAGGCAGTGGAATATTCCATACCACAGACACCCGCTCAGTGGATAACTGGGGTTGGCTGGGGGGCGGGAATCCGCCATCGGTGCAGATTCACGGGGCAGTGAGAGTCGCCCATCTCATTATTATTGTTATTTTTCCTTTTCTGTCATTGTTTCTATTAAACTGTCTTTATCTCAACTCATGAGGGTTTTGGTTTTTCCCTTTCCCCTGCTTCCCATAATTATGTATAAACAAGTGTAGAATCTTTCAGAGGAAAGAACTTGGCCTTTACAGATGCAGCATCCCATTCAAATTCTACTTGTAGAATTCTTTTAATCTTTCCTTATCATTAATTTATATAGATACATATACAATGTGCGTGATGACATGTGTGTGGACTATAAACAAGTTTGTAAAGTTTCTTAGAGAAATCTGTTAATGCAAGTCATGAGCAGAGCATGTTACCAAGAGAACTGATGGTGTATTTACTGCTGATTGTTAGAAAACATCCTTCTACCTAGAAGTGTTACAGGAAGGCACAGAGCTGCATACGTGTGTGAGAATCATCACAATATTGTTATAAGACCTTAATATCTTTACTAGTAAGCAATTAGAGCAAGTAAAACATATGGAAGAGCGAAATGTTTTCTCTATTGTTCTCAGTATATTTCCTGACATTTTTATAATGAAATTTTACCTGTTATGACTATTTTCTGCATTGATTACTCCACTTTAGACTGCTGTCTTAAAGCTCTGAATATGTTGTAGCACAATTGTTACATACAATAGAACCAACATTGTCTGTTCTTTGACATAGTTTACAAAATAATAAATCTCATTTTACTCTGCAGCGTTTGCACCTATACCATTTGGAGGAATTTATTTGCCACTTGAAGTTCTACCCAACAGATGCCATTGCTCACCTCTTGTGCTAGCCTACGATCAGGCCCATTTCTCTGCTCTGGTTTCCATGGAACAAAAAGATCAACAGAGAGAACAAGGTATGCTACAAACACAGCAGCCCAGGGTACATAGTGAATACAATGCACAAAGTACTTTCTTCTTCCTGTAGGTGGGTTTACCTATCAGAAAGGAAACAATACGCACTGAATTTTATTCCTGTGTTCTTAAGAGTCTAAGTGGTCTAATCACAAGACCGGGAGCCAAGAACTCTTCAGTCTAATCCTTGGGCTGTCACTGTCTGTTTTGGCCACTTTGGCCTTTTCTGTCAGTTCCATGTATGTAAATAGGTATAATCATAGTTACCTGCTGTGCCTCTGAGTTCTTGAACTGTATTAATTTGGGTTAGTAAAGTGTTTAGAAGATTACATATGAGTCAGATTACTGTTGAAAATATATATAAAAGATCTCTCTTCTAATGTGCAAAATGCACTTTTCTCATTTAAAAACATTTAGTTGAAACATTTGTATCTTATCATCTTGCTGTCTTCTGTTGTACTTCAGAACAGTGACAACAAGGTCTGACCAGGTATTTCTGTGTCAAGTTTGAGCCACTGGGATTGGGGGTGGCAAGAGCTTCAGGACTGGGTTTGTTCCTGCATCAGGAACGGAGGAGCTACCTATCACCACCCTTATTTGGAAGACCTGTTTGCTCAATGATAAAAGGCTGTGAGATGAAGGCTTCTACGGAATATGAGTGACAAGGAAGAAGGAATAGCTGCTGCAATGTGTTTTTTCACAAAAATTTCAATGGTTGGTTCCAGTTGTTTCAAAAAGTTTCAATGCCGTGTCTTCCAGAGTTGATAATGCAGAAGATCCAGTGTATGAGAGCTTGGAAGAGTTCCACGTTTTTGTCTTAGCCCATATTTTGAGAAGACCAATTGTTGTAGTAGCAGACACAATGTTACGAGACTCAGGGGGAGAAGGTAAGAGTTTTTCATTAGAAATTTATGCACCTATGTAAATTGAATCGATCGTAAACTATCACAAACAAAAGTCCCAGCTGGAACGTATCTGCTCGTTTATGGGATAACTGCTGCCTTTTTCTGAGAGAAAAAGGAAGAGCAGAATGATACTTAATCCATTTCTGTGAGATAAAAGTAAAAAATACAGGATAATGATGTTAAGTCTCACTGAAAATCTGTTCCTAGATATTTACTATCAACTTCATAACCACCAAATTGCAGAACACAATACAATTCTTACTGGCCGTTCTGGTTTCAACTGGGAATAGTTAATTTTCTTTCTAGTGATGGCTGTGAAAGGAATGACATTAATGAATACTGGGTTTAGTTGTTGCTAAGTCTTATTTACACTATTCAAGGCCATTTTTCAGCTTCCCATAGAAGAACAGAGAGCACAAGGGAACAGGCAGTGGAATATTCCATACCACAGACACCCGCTCAGTGGATAACTGGGGTTGGCTGGGGGGCGGGAATCCGCCATCGGTGCAGATTCACGGGGCAGTGAGAGTCGCCCATCTCATTATTATTGTTATTTTTCCTTTTCTGTCATTGTTTCTATTAAACTGTCTTTATCTCAACTCATGAGGGTTTTGGTTTTTCCCTTTCCCCTGCTTCCCATAATTATGTATAAACAAGTGTAGAATCTTTCAGAGGAAAGAACTTGGCTTTTACAGATGCAGCATCCCATTCAAATTCTACTTGTAGAATTCTTTTAATCTTTCCTTATCATTAATTTATATAGATACATATACAATGTGCGTGATGACATGTGTGTGGACTATAAACAAGTTTGTAAAGTTTCTTAGAGAAATCTGTTAATGCAAGTCATGAGCAGAGCATGTTACCAAGAGAACTGATGGTGTATTTACTGCTGATTGTTAGAAAACATCCTTCTACCTAGAAGTGTTACAGGAAGGCACAGAGCTGCATACGTGTGTGAGAATCATCACAATATTGTTATAAGACCTTAATATCTTTACTAGTAAGCAATTAGAGCAAGTAAAACATATGGAAGAGCGAAATGTTTTCTCTATTGTTCTCAGTATATTTCCTGACATTTTTATAATGAAATTTTACCTGTTATGACTATTTTCTGCATTGATTACTCCACTTTAGACTGCTGTCTTAAAGCTCTGAATATGTTGTAGCACAATTGTTACATACAATAGAACCAACATTGTCTGTTCTTTGACATAGTTTACAAAATAATAAATCTCATTTTACTCTGCAGCGTTTGCACCTATACCATTTGGAGGAATTTATTTGCCACTTGAAGTTCTACCCAACAGATGCCATTGCTCACCTCTTGTGCTAGCCTACGATCAGGCCCATTTCTCTGCTCTGGTTTCCATGGAACAAAAAGATCAACAGAGAGAACAAGGTATGCTACAAACACAGCAGCCCAGGGTACATAGTGAATACAATGCACAAAGTACTTTCTTCTTCCTGTAGGTGGGTTTACCTATCAGAAAGGAAACAATACGCACTGAATTTTATTCCTGTGTTCTTAAGAGTCTAAGTGGTCTAATCACAAGACCGGGAGCCAAGAACTCTTCAGTCTAATCCTTGGGCTGTCACTGTCTGTTTTGGCCACTTTGGCCTTTTCTGTCAGTTCCATGTATGTAAATAGGTATAATCATAGTTACCTGCTGTGCCTCTGAGTTCTTGAACTGTATTAATTTGGGTTAGTAAAGTGTTTAGAAGATTACATATGAGTCAGATTACTGTTGAAAATATATATAAAAGATCTCTCTTCTAATGTGCAAAATGCACTTTTCTCATTTAAAAACATTTAGTTGAAACATTTGTATCTTATCATCTTGCTGTCTTCTGTTGTACTTCAGAACAGTGACAACAAGGTCTGACCAGGTATTTCTGTGTCAAGTTTGAGCCACTGGGATTGGGGGTGGCAAGAGCTTCAGGACTGGGTTTGTTCCTGCATCAGGAACGGAGGAGCTACCTATCACCACCCTTATTTGGAAGACCTGTTTGCTCAATGATAAAAGGCTGTGAGATGAAGGCTTCTATCTGTCTTTGCTCTGCCTGGGGGGAAGGCAGGCTTTAGAAAAATTCAGTGGAGTTTTGCTGTTAGGTATGAGTCCTCCTTTTTTTTTTTTTTTTTTTTTTTTTTTTTTTTTTTTTTTTATGCCTGCTGGCACTGCAGAGGTGTTTTAAATCCTTTATGAATGCATATTACCTGTAAAGTAAACATGGAACGTGTACTGGTTGTTGAGATCTCCTGAGTGAAGCTCATTTAGTGTCCTCCTTCCTAAAGAGTAGTTTAGAGACAGCTAAATATCCTTCATTTAATTCCCTATCCCCTTGTGCATTTCATCTGAGTTTGGATGTATTAGTCATTTTCCATACTTATGAGACAGTTAGTTGTCTTGTAGAACATGCCTCCATCTCTTTGGTCTTGATCCTTTTTAGGTCCAATTTCTGTTGGTGGTGGAACAAGACAACTTCTGGAGTAGGCAGAGTCCATTTCTTGCATTCTTACAATTGGGATCAGAATAGTATCAGTAGACTGACAGTAACCTCAGTTATTTCAGGCACATCTATCTGCCTTCACACAATACTTCATTATCACAGGTCTTACAGGAGCTGATATGCATGAATAATTTGACTGAATACAGAGAACTTACCTGTCTCTACAATAACTTTGCAGGTAGGGTAATCACCACCCACCAAACCTTGTGCTGTTGTGGCATCCTCTGTGACAGGGCTGTGAGGGACACTCCTGTTCAGCAGCTCTGACCCTGCCTTGTGCTAAAGTATTCAGTGATGCACCTTGATGCCACCTACTGAAATACTGCTAATATTACAGGTCGTATATTCCTGCTAATTACACACTGCAAGATCTTGGGTTTGATGACAAGGTCACATATTTGATTTCTCCTACAAGTGCTAGCAATAATGTTAAATATACTTCTTATGGTTAGAAACTGTCTTTCTGTAGGATTTTCCTATACCTGTAGCTGCATAGGAAATGTGCTGGGAGACAAAAAGCTACCAAATATCCAGCACACCTTCTGTAACATTTAATATTGGCTTTGTTCATGTGTAAGTTCCTCCAGGCTAACTACCAGGGTTGTTGAATCAAAACAGTATTTTTTTTTTGTGTGATCTGATTTTACATGTTTTACTGCAGGGCCCTGGATACACAGGCATCAGTTCTGTGGATCAGCAGAAAGCACTTGGCATTAGGTCTGGGATGAAGGGAATGGTTCAGCTTCCAGCTGCCAAACTGGTTGCTGTTAGAGGCTGCAGCAGCCTAAGAGCTCACACAACACCGCTGTTGTTCTTCAAATGCTGTGGCAGGAAGTAGATTGGCACAAGGATGCTCTAATAATGACTATTTTTTGTACCTTGTCAGCACAGAGATGTTGGCAGCAGCTTTGGCAGAGAGGAAGGAGAGCCAGAGTTGTGCGAGTTGGAAAGCAATGGCACAGGTGCCACGGTACGAGGCCAGGTTTTGAACTGTGAGGATGCAGGTGGGAGCTCAGAGCTACAGCCTGTTACAAGGAGCATCTCTGAGAGCCAGGCCGTGTGTGACTCCCAGTCATGGTACTGACAGCCACGTAGCTGGGTGTCAGGAGCACACTGAAGCCGTCTGAACTACTGTGTGTACGTACACACGTTTAGGCTGCCAAGAAGCTGTTTTGTGGAGGAGACAGTACGTCCTATATTTCTGAGACATATGGATGTAGTCAAATAAATGCTGATGTAAACACCTGGAGTTCTGCTTTGGCATATAATCGTTTATCAGATCATTTGGAGTACTACTGTAAATGTATATAAAGAGAGAAAAGATGCTAACGTCCTCTTGTCTGGAGAGGATTTAAAAAACATTTTGACATGTTATTTTTTGACCAGCACACAGCTGGCATTCTGATGGACGCCAAAGGCCCTCTTGTTTTGAAATCCACAACGTCCAATCAAAAACCTGTAAATACTCATCTATTCATGCAGGCTATATTTATGCAGATGTTTTGTAGTTTTGCTTATGGAAACAAAGACCAGTTCTTACATGACCCTAAGATTGCTTTGTTGAACTTGGAGCTTCCCACACTCCCGTGCTTTGCCCTGTCAGGTCAGGTGCTACCAGAATGGAAATGCTGTGTGGTAAACTTATACAGCTGCTCTCTTCTGAGTTGCCACCTTCTTTCAAAAAGTTGAGATACTGCATTGTAAGGTCAGTTGTAAATCCAGTCAGTACCTGCTAGTAATTCAGTTAATTAGCAGAATGTGTCTTTTCCTTGGGAAACACAATCAGTGAATTGTGTTACCAGCTATGCCAGCCCCTTTGTTGCAGTAATTTCATTGAATGGAGCAGAGTAAGCTCTCATATTACACCAATCAGTGTTAAAAAGTGTATTCAGTTGTCACCTCTCCTGTACATTTCTTATGCTTTTGTGCTTCATGAGCTCCTGCTTTACCATGTATTTTGAACTGCAGTTAGACTCTCTGCTACTTATTCACATTGAGTTTCTTTAAGGAGGTAAATTCTCTCACAATACTAATTTCTGTGACTGCATCCTACAGCAGTATCTGCAACTAAAGTTGATTAGTCTCCAGCTGTTCTGTACTATATTTGCAGTTAATATGGGGAAAATATTTCAAGAATTACTATTATAAGCAGTAGGGGACAACGTTTCGATTAAATTTTTAGAGGTTTGACCTTTTTATTTCCAGTCTGCAAAGATGAAAAAATATATATACTTTCTGCAGTTGTTGTCAAATTGTCTGAACCAAATACTGACCTCACCGTGTTACTCTAAAATGCAGATTAAGTTTCCTGCGTTCTGCTAGGTGAGGAACAATATTTAACCAAAAAATCCTGTACCTTTGTTTTGACAACATGTTTTCTGAACTGCAGAAAAGATTATAAACAGCCTATAACCAATACATGCAATCAGTTTTCAGTAAGTCAGTGCCAGATGTTTGGCTGATGCCTCCAGGTTCCTTTGCCCCCTGGCTTTGCAGGAATGAATACCTCCGCAAAGTCCTTAAGGTTTCCAGTACAGAAAATTAAATTCCTTGATTGGTTGTCAGAGAAGCAGCAGTGACCTGCCCCATGCTGAGGATCCCATCCAGTACCTAAACAGCCTTTATTTTATTTTTTTTCCTAATGAAATGGAAGCAAATTGCTGGCTTTAATTAAAGCTGACAGTGTTTTTCTCTTAGTTTCTTGCTGGTGGTGAATGATAGACACTCTGTAAAATCACACAGAGCATAAAGCAGAGTCATCAAGAGAGGTGTCAGAAGGCAGAGCCCCAGCAGAGAGGGGAAGGGAGAACAGCCAGAGCAGTTGGACAGCGGAGCTGGGACGTAACAGCAGTAATTTTTTATTTTTTTTCTTAAGGTTGGACTCAATGAGAGGTCCCTTCCAACCATGGTGATTCTCTGATTCTGTAATGGGCTTCTCACTATGCTCCTGACAGGCCTCCAACTGACCTCCTAACCCATATCTATGTTGATCTTTGCTCCTCAATTACGTTAATTCACAGTTTGAATCCAAAATCCCTGTAACTGCATTTTGCTTTGTTTCTTAATGCTGTTACCAATATATTTTTGTTTCTTTGACAGTGAAAAACAAAAAAGTACTAAACTGAAAAGAGAAAATAATTAACAAGTATGTGCATCTGTGTGAGAGACAGGCAGGAGTATTTCAACTTTTTATTGCTTTCTGCTATTCTAATGGTTCTGTCTCCAGGAAATGTTTATTGTGCATTACAAAATGGCAATGTTGTTCTCCCAGAGGTCTCCCCTCCTCCAGAGGTGACTATCTTTCACTCCAGGAGCAATCAGTGTATTAACCTCTCTCTCTCCTCTTCCCTTTCACAAACATCAAAATGGGAAAATGGAGCCTGGTATAAATCATTTGTGGTGCTCTGAATGAGACAATTCTGCAGCAGGCTCAAATTCTGCCCTTCTTTAAACCAGTTATGCTGCTTTTCACAGCTAATTAATTTTTTTGTTGTTTTTGTTCCCCCCACCTCAATCCTTGTTTCTTCTCTCCCTCAGCGGTGATCCCCCTGACTGACTCTGAACACAAGTTACTGCCTTTGCACTTTGCGGTGGATCCTGGGAAAGACTGGGAGTGGGGAAAAGACGACAACGATAACACCAAGCTGGCCAAGTAAGACCTTTTTGAAACCTTAGTGTTCAGCAGTAAAATGTCTTGAGCCGTACCTGATTGAAGCATTGGGAGAACTGCTGACAGAGAGGGCTTTGGTGATGTTCTCTGGTGGCATGGCATCTCTCCCTGTTAAGAAATATTGCTTTTTCTTTCAGGCTGTTTTTGACACTTTGTTCCCTTCTTTTTTTCCACCCTTAGTTTGATTCTGTCTCTTGAGGCAAAGCTTAATCTCCTGCACAGCTATATGAATGTAACGTGGATACGCATACCGTCTGAGACACGGGTAAGGTCACTCCCCCTCGCTCTGCCCAAGAGGAGAGGTGCCAGGCAGGGCAGGGTGCTGTGTGGGGCACTGCCTGGGCTGGCCAGTTGCCCAGGAACACCAGTGTCCTGGCAGCAGGGACAAAGTCACTCGTGGCTCACTGTCATTGCAGTCAGGCTTATACGTTTTCCTAGTTATTTGTTTTAATGACGCAGTTGCTTTTATTTTTTTGCAACTCCTACTCTGTTTTGGAATGTATTTTCTAGCTTAATCTTTCTGTAACTTATTTCAGCAGTCCACGTAGTTCAGAAAAGCCTTAAAATAGACCTTTTCTCGCCATTGTGTTCTGAGAACTTTGGCTTGCTCTCCTAATGCCACTGCTCGGTCACCACTCCCAAGTGCTTTCGCTTTCTGAGAATGCACTGGCACCCTGGGACGGCTCCCAGTTTAGAGTGGCTGACAAAAGGGCACAGACTGGCGCTGAACGGGAGCCCCATTCTTTCAGAAAGCTATTTTAGAGCTGCACTCAGCTGGCACCCAGTCAGCTGCAAATTTCTCTGCAAATGACATGGAATGGATGGAGGGGTTAGTCTGGAGGGAAAAGGTTGCTAGGAGAGGCTGGAGGTGATTTAGACAGCCTACACAGATGGGATTTGAAAGGAGGAACAGAACACAAAAGGAGAAAGCATTTAACAAGCTGCAAGAGGGGGGAAAATGCATTTTTCTACAGTTTCTACAGTGGTAACTACCACATCAGAAAAAGGAGAGGGAAAACGGTCCTGTAGTCGTAAACAGTGAGCCTGAAACTCGTGGGACCTGGGTTACCTCTCCCCACTTTGCACTTGCCACGTGAGTGTGGTCAGGTCACTCCAGCAGTTGCCTCCTCCTCTGCCAAGCTGGGGTAACAGCTCTGCTCCCGACCGGGTGATGGGGGCTCAGTGACTCCAGAGAGAGAGGACAAGGAAGTGCCCAGGGACAAGAAGCAGGAGTGCATTTCTATAGCATTTTTATACTGGGAGTATATACATCTCCAGAGCTTTTTTTTTTTTTTCTCTGAATCCTTATGGTTAGTTAAATGTTCTGCGTTTATCTCTAGCAGATTTTAGCTTCATGATGCCTGAAAGCAAGACTAAGTCTTGCAGGAGTAAATGAACAGAGCCACGTTTTAAAGTATCCTAGGATCCTTACTGCATTTTCAAGAAAGATGTTTTATCACCTTACCTAAAATATAAGGTGGAACTCTGACTTCTGACACCAGTTTTGTCTGCATTTTATTTCCAGTAAGAATGAATACACCTCATTGTATTCCTCAGTCTACTTACTGAAGTTTAGAGTTTAATATTACAGGCAAGATGTGTAGCCCTGGTGCATCGTACCTTTGATTTTCACGCACCAGAGACCTGAACGAGGAAGAAATTAATAAGTTGGGGTTTGAACAAAAATGACGTGTGAAATATTGCTGCATACAGGTTTGTGTGCCACATCCCCCTCTCAGCTTTCAGCAGAACCTCATTTCCCTTCCACCACGATACCAGTTTCTCTGTCTCCCCAGCTGAGAGGCAGCCTGTACCGCATGGAGGGGCCGGTCTCTGTCCGCAGGGAGGCTGTGCTGCAGCCCTCCCCTCAGCGGGAGCACTGACTTCCATCTCCCCATTATTCAGACACTGATTTTCAGAGAAACTCTGGGGGAATGACCTCTGTTCTGCAAACGTGCTTGAAATGAGCCAAAAGCTACTGTAGGAACAAGCAAGATACATAGTCAGCAGAGCCAAATAAGCATTATTTGGTGAAGAAACCAGTTGAAGGTGTCAGTGCATGAATTAAGAAGTACATTTAAAATCAATGCCAGATTCTATATTGGATTTGGGTTTGTTTTTTTTTTTTTTGCACCAAGTCCCTGTATAAAACTGATTTTGCAGTATCTAATTGTAATTACTTTTCCATAGCAGGCCCCTTTGGCTCAACCCGAATCCCCTACAGCTTCAGCCGGGGAAGATGTTCAGTCTCTGGCTGACTCAATGGACTCAGACCGAGATTCCATCTGTAGTAATTCCAACGGCAATAATGGCAAAAACAGTAAAGAAAAAGAAAAGGACAAACAGAGGAAAGATAAAGACAAAAACAGGACGGATTCAGTTGCCAATAAAATAGGAAGCCTCAGTAAAACCCTGGGAATTAAACTGAAAAAGAATATGGGTGGTCTCGGAGGCCTGGTGCATGGCAAAATGAGCAGAGCCAATTCAGGGAATGGGAAAAATGGTGATGCAGTAGAGAAAGTCAAAGAGAAAAAGTCGAAGTCTCGAAAAGGCAGCAAAGAGGAATCCGGACAGTCTGCGAGCACTTCTCCATCTGAGAAGACCACTCCATCTCCGACTGACAGAGCCAGCAACTCGCCCGTTGAAAAGGTGAACACTAAATCCTTCCCTGACAAGCAGTCTGACCCATGGAAGTACAGCACTGACGTGAAACTCAGCCTCAATATTCTGAGAGCTGCCATGCAGGGGGAACGGAAGTTTATTTTTGCTGGCCTTCTTTTGACCAGTCATAGGCATCAGTTCCACGAGGAGATGATAGGCTATTACCTGACCAGTGCACAGGAGCGTTTCAATGCAGAACAGGAACAGAAAAGAAAGGATGCTGAGAAAAAGGCTGCACTGAATGGGCCATCTAATGGGTCATCTAATAGGAAACTGGAGCCAGAAGCATATTCAAAAGAAAAATTAGAAACATCTCCTCAGGATAGGGCATCACCCGTCTTGCCTCAAAGCCATACGACTCAACTGGTTTTAAAATTTAAAGATCGCACTAGTCCCACTCCTGGGTCATTTTCTTCGCCTACTAATGGTGCTAAGAAAAGTGGACCCATCCCGGTATCTGCCCACTATAGCCATACGCCACCCGTTCAAAGGCAAAGCGTCATCCATTTGCATGATGTCAACTCCAAGCCATCGAGCTTCCAAGACGATACCTACAAGCCAGTGGTTGGCACCTTAAAAACCTGTGCCACCTATCCCCAACAAAACAGATCGCTGTCTTCTCAGAGCTATAGCCCAGCCCGGATATCCGGTATCCGTACGGTGAACACAGTGGAATCGCTGAGCTATGCCATGCCCACGGAACACAAGTCTCAGACATACACAAATGGATTCAATACTGGAGATATCAGAGACTGCTTAGAATATGCTGATGAGGATGCTCCTCAGACCTGGTTGAACAATGATAAAAATCAAGGCAGAAGCACAGTTTGCCCAATATATTCCATCCAGCAGAACCGCTGTAAGAAGGAGAACTGTTCCTTTTATGGTCGTCCTGAGACTGAAAATTACTGTTCATACTGCTACAAAGAAGAGTTAAAACGCAGGGAGAGAGAAAGCAAGGGACACCGGCATTGAGGATTCTTCCGTGACTACTTAGTTTTACCATTTTCTTACTTACAAAGTAAACAGTGTTGAATTGCAGTAAAAGGAATCCTTAAAAAAAGAATAAAGGATTGATGAGTCAATAGTGTCTAGCTTTTCGCTTTTCCGGGGCAATGAGGAAATAACAGGATTAATTTATCATAAAAAAAAAATATTATTTTCCATTTTGTCAGTGTCTTTTTTACATATACTGGTAAGCTGAAGGGTTGTTTACTCCTTTGTCAGTGCTGTGTATATGTTTGGTCAAAAATTTACTAATGGTGCCTGAATTTACACTGACATCACTCAGGTAGTAGAACGATAGGGGAAAGTCATAATACCGGAGATGTGGTGTTGTAGTAGGGTAGTATCTGCCTTGTAGACATTTGAGAATCTATAGCTATTATGAGAGTATTTTTTCCTCAGTAAAACCTAAATTTTTCATAGCCTTTTTTTTTCATGAGGGTAGTGATTTTGCGTACTGCACATTTCTAACATGGCAGCATTACTACTAATGTTTGTACTCATTTTAGTCTGAAGTTGAATGATGCTGAGAAAATGGGAGTGAAAGATCTCAATTCATGAGGGCTGTAGCTCTTCCTAATTTAAAATTCTTACCAGTTATTTCTACATTTCCATAAAACGGTAGACAAGCCACTTTTATTTGTACTGAATTTTTACACTGGTTTTATAAAAAATACATAATGACTGGCAAGACTTCATATCACAAAAACCACCACATAGGTTAGTTTTGGGCACCTGAATTTCAATATTATTTTCATTGCTGTTAAAATTGAGAGAAATGTGAAAATAAATTATAAAAATTGTATTAGATTTGGAAAATTTTACGACCAGCTAGGAAATTTAGGATCATTTTAGAGCTGAATGAACTGCTTGTCAAAGCAAATGTATTGCATCGATTCCCTTTGCTGTTGCATTAATTTAATAATAATTTATTTATTCTTTTCTTAGCATTACCAGTTGATAGTTGTTGCAAACATAACTACTTGTGAGCCTTTCTTGAAGGCTGCTGGCTCCACCTATTTCTGACTCTTCTAGAGTGAGTTATGTACCTACCAAGAGGTTCCCAAGCGGCTATAAAATACCTCCAGTCTGAATGGCAACTCCTAGCACAGATTTGCACAAGTCTGATATCCAAATACTTATGTAACTAGTTGCAATAGTTTTGAAAATAAAACTTGACTCATAGAAACATTTCTGTAAAGCAGACACAGCAAATACTGTTGAAGGAGATGTATGGCATTAGGAGGTTTTCATGAATATAGTGCTTGCCAGTTTTGCACCCCTCTGCCATCAACTGGCATGATGTATTAAGAGTAGATCTTTAGTGCTTTAGCGTTGTTACACTTATAAGCAACAGCTCATTTACTGTCTACCTTCTTTTTTTTTTTTTCTTTTTTTTTAAGAGCTCATTTTCCACAAATAGGTGAAGAATAACCTTCAAGACCACTTACTCTGCCAGTTAAAGGTGCAGAAAATGATTTCTGCCTTATTCGTTATGGAATAGCACTTTTCTGGCCTGCACAGGGAAGATTCTTTGCCAAAGAGTCTTTGTTCCTGATTCTTTTCTGCCGTACCCCGATTTTTATTCTTGACATGGTGGCAGCATTTCACTTGCCTGCAGTTCATCCTTGTTAGCCCTGAAACTGAGCTTAAAGGAGCCCGTGAAACAAGATACAGAAACCTATGCTGATGTGTACTGGCTTTCAGGAAAAGCACATAAGTTTTTGCTAATATCCCACTGAAATTTGTGGGACTGAGCACATACTCTAAATTGATAATAGGTTTTCTGCTGAACGCGAGGTTTAAAGAATAGTTTCAAAAATAAATCTGTTGGCCACTCCTAGAAAGTCATGGCCTTTGCCGTGTTAGCTGTTCCATGAATCCGCACCCGTACTTTGTATTTCGTGCTGTATTCTGAGCATACACTGAATGGTACTGAATTTGCATTCCTTCATTAAAGGTAAGGACTGGTATGCGTAATGAGAGGTTAAAACTCCATGTCACCTCTGTCCTGAAGGTAAGCACATTCTAAACCCCCTGTCTCCAGCTGTGTACCCTGGTCAGCAGTGTCCTTTTTTGGTTAACTCTTGTGATTACATGTAAGTTCTTATTGCCAAAGAAATCTGTGATTGCAGATTATGCTAAACCAAGCCAGATCAATTTAAAACAAATTAAATATCATACTTGATTGTATTTGTTGTCGAGGCTGAGAAAACTGACAGGACAAAACTTCATGAAAAAAATAAATATTTAAGAATTCTTAGAGCATTAGAGTAGCAGTAGCATTTGATACTCTGAGAATTGCTTCTATGTAAAATTGTGCTTAAGAAATATTACATCAGCAGCAAAGTACACCAGCCCATGTATTTAAGTCAGTTGTATCCTTTCTAAATGAGGAAAAAAATGACAGCACATATGTAAAAATAAGCAATTAGCATAAGAATTTGCTGTTTCCCCTTTTTCAAAAGAGTTGTTTCTAGTTTATGTTTTTAAGATCTACAACTTGAAAGAGTTTTACAGCTGGTCAATATTTAGACAAATTGTTCTATTTTAAATTATTGAATAGATTGTACCTGTATGTTAGATTAATTTGAATAATTAATTAATTGTATTTGGATAATTATAGGCTTGACTGTATGGAATAACAAACTTCAGTGTTCAGCGTTATCCTCAAGTCACTCAGATATTTCCATAAATAGTTGCCACTACTGGATTGCTCATTTTAAAATATCTGTTACATGAAACACGTTTCAGTTGTACCTGCTGCATGCCTACAAGGCAATTTGCCAGTTAAAATCTACCCATCTTTTCCTACTAGTTGTCCTTTTTTTCTGAGCTATTTGTGGCAGTTGTCTGAAGGGGATACCGTAGTTGGTATTAACAGCCCAGACATACAGATGGAATGCCTCCTCCTGGAGAAGTGACTGTCCTATTAAAAGAAGAGTCTAGATATAAGAGGAAATTTTCTACTTTTTTTTTTTTTTTCAAAGAGAATTGCAAACTGCTCATGAGTTGCGTTCACTAGCACTGAAAGAAATTATGTCGTTCCTTAGGTAGGTGTGAGAGGGAATAATCTTCAACTGTGAGTTTCTGTTGCCCTAGATGGCTAACCTTTGACTGCTCTTCTCGCTCATTTTTCCTTACATTGGAAGCTCATGTAGCCACAGGCCAGCAAGTCCTTTCTTGTGCCTGATCTGCCGTCTCTGTACCTTTCAGAGCTCATTAGAGTTATTACTTAGTCCCAGTTGTACAGAAATCGTTTTGGGAGGACTGTGTTAATTTCTTCTGTTAACTCAAGTGGCTGAAAAACACATACATATTTTTGCATTTGCTTTTTTCCCCTCTCTTCTTGATAGTGATTCAACAATTACCACTGTTGTCCCGATTTCAAAAGTACAGACTAAATCCTGGGTAGGCTAGGCCTTCCTCACATAGATCCCAAATCACCAGGAGATATTTAGGTTGGAGGAAGCTGGGATGTTTTAATGTGTGAATGTGCAATTTTTCTAATTTAAAAAAGGCTTAAACCTATTATGCAATTTTTTTATGTTGTTCATAAACTCTGATACAAAGGTCTGTTCGTAACAGAGGAGGCCTGTAATACATAATGGGTTTCAGTCACACTTTATATTAAAGTTCCATTTTAAATGCTTTATAAAGAGTTGTTAAACTATTGCTAGACTTTACAAGTATTTTTTCAGATGTGGGTGTCAGTTGTAGCACATGGCTAACAAGCAGCTCATTCAGAAAAAGGTGGTGTAGATTATCAAAAGTAATTTAAGATACTTTGGATTTTAAAACAATTGATTAACCTTTTGTCATTATGGTTCATTGAGTTTTATAAATGCAATGGAAATATAGTGTGTGACCAGTTTTTTTAGCCATTAGTTTCTTCTTCCTAAGTCAAAGGTAACCTTAAAGGGATCAGTGAAAGAAAGATGCTGTACTTGGAGAGGTTTGTGTTGCTTGTTTCTTAAGAAATCTAAATAGGCCAAGTGAAGTCTCCAGAGTTGTCTTTTTTAAATTGCAAAGCTGGTGATGTGAGCAGTATGACTCGATACAGACAGCATTGAGGAGGGAAGCTTTTTGTGGATTTGCACAGTTGGACTGCAGATCGAATCAGTCTGAGGCAATACCAGTCCTTGCACATACAGGCAGATTCAGGGTTATCTACTCCTCGTGTGATGAATGTGTAGATATCAAAAAAATGCACAGCACAGATCTGACAAATACTGCCCTCTCACTCTCTGACTCTGCAAACAGTTACACTGGTGCTCAACTTCACTAATATCAATAGTCTCCCTGACATCAAGGAGACTACTTGTTTTCAGAAACTTAACACAACTGTTAAGAAAAAGTATAAAAGTTTGTGGGATGGAGGCCTGAGCCTTTAGCCAGTGTTTGTTCCCCTCAGGCTGCCTGACCTCACTCTTCCAAGAGGAGAACTGATGAGAATTTTGCCTGAGGAGCAGAGAGCCTCTGTGGGCTAGATCTGCTGTCCTGAAACCTGCGGGCAGAATCCCATTAGTAATTAGTAATGGGGCCTTAAACCGGGTGCTTCATGGACACACAGAACCCTGGCAGGCTGGAGGTGAAAGGAAAGCACGGGCAAGTGAAGGGAGTAAGGTCTCATAGCACTGAGAATGTTTTGCACAGGTGAAACCCCGTGTGTTAATAGAAACCACAATAATCTCAAATAAACATAGGTCCAGAGAAGCAAAATAACTGATGCTGATTGTAGATGGCTTTTCAGCTTAGTGTATTTTAAGTCTCTGTCAGTGTATTTGAAGAGTATTTGTTTTAGGGTATGGCAGCTTACGCAGAGGATCACCAAACAGTATATAGCATAGAATTTAAATTATTTCAGTAACAGACACTAGTATCTATTTTAATTTGCACATTAATTTCCAGTGTATATGACTAAAATACTATATTGTTAAAAATGAGAGGAAAACAACACAAAGGTGTTTGTAAGTATGTTCTGTTTGTAGATTTAAGGCTGTATTATGTTGGAATTTTACAAGCCAAGTTTAAATTGTAATATAGAAATTATTTTTATATTATTTTGAAAATATGCTACAGAGCAATATTTTGCGCCTTTATTATAAACAGGGTCATCATTTTAGTAGGTTACCTTCAGAAATGCTGGTAGATATTAACCATGAAAAGAAAGCTTTGTAAATGTACTTGTTGTTTCTAACTGCTCCGTCTGTTGTGCAGATCTGTATCTAATGCGAGTTGAATATACAAATTTTTTTTAATTGAAAAGCTTTAAATTTTTCTTTATATATTTTGGTACAACACTATCCCTCTCTATTTAATTCTACTCTTCTTTCCAGTCCCTACCAATAGCTACTTTTATAAGCAGCTTCTGAATAAACACTCATCTGGAAAGTTTTCTTACCAAATGAAACATTTCCGTACAGATATTGATTGACTTGGGACATTCATAAGACACCCTGAATCCATTGGAGTAATACTACTTTGCTTTTTTTTAAAAAAAAAAATAATAAATCAGAGACTTATTATTCCTTCAAAATGAAAATCAAGAATGAATAACCAGTGCAATCATTTAGCATCTGTGGGAAGAGAATCACTCTAGATCATAGAAATGTCATCCTTTAACTGGCAGATACATTGTGTTTTAATATATATCAAATATGCATTAGCTTCTTGCAGATTCAATTGTTCAGATTTTATTTCTTCATAGTTCATTGTACTATACATATCAATTACTGATGAACCATGCAAAAAAGACTTTGCAAACTAATGCATATGTTAAGTCAGGAGTCTCTGTAGTTTTTGAAATTCCATAACTTCTGTGGTTCAGTTTGTTGGGGTTTGTTTATTTGTTCCAGAATTACTATTAAAGTATGTACTGCAACCAAAATTATCAAATCTGGACGCCTAATGTTAAGATTCTGCATCCAGGTTTCTCCTAATAAATCGACTGGTTTTAAGATGTACTGAGCATCAATTTCTGTGGGAGCAAAAGCTCTTTCTTGGTTTCAGAACAATCAAGCGAGCGTTACTCCAACACATATTCAGGGCTCTTCTTGATTAGTCTATGCTTCTTTTCAGTCAATGGAATTTCCATTTTCTCTTTAGTGATTTTTCCATCTGTGAACAAATAATTGGGCTTATTCATAAAGTGATTGCTTGAATATGGAGAGACTTGCCTTGTACCAAAACACCATATAATTGTTTTACTGTTGCATTCTTAATGGGGCTAGTGTATGCCACTGATTTTGGGGGGATTGAGACTTTTTCATGGATATCATGATCATTCTGTTTTGTTTGGGTTTGTTTTTTTTCCTCTCAAGTGAGTATACTGTTCTGATTGCTGTTTTATCTCCCATTTACCTGAATGCACGTACTGTACCAAGAGAATTGAAATGGCTGATGCACATTTGCACTGTGGAACATGTGATATGGGTAAAAGCCACCGTGTTCCAAACAGCCTTAAAATTACGACTCTCTGGGGACTGAGAGTCACTTAACTGGATGCAGCCTCTGTCCCGCTTCCTCGTTTAACCATGACTGTAAAATACTCCAGCCTGCTGTAAGTCTACCTAACTGCATGCCCAGCCATCTGAATAACCTCTAATCCTAAAAAATTTTACTTTAAAAAATTGTAATTCTTCGCTCAGTGTCAGCGTGTCAGGAAACCATTGTCAATAGAGGAAATAGGGGTAGAACTAGAGAGAGAGCGGTAGGTACTAGAGTAACCATGGCACCAAAATACTAAAAAGAGGTAAAACAGTTAAGATGTATCAAAAACTATTTCCTGTCAAGACTGGGAGCTTTTTAGATCTTCCTGTATTCTGGGGAGACAGAGAAATGTTGTTTTGCCATTCATCTCTGCATCTAATGTAGCCTCTTACTCTGTTGCAGAGTTTGCCATTGGGGAAGAAGGGAGAGAAAAATGGCAAGTTTTCTTAAATAAAGCAAATTTTACTTGAGTGGCAGAATCATCTGAGATGGCAGAAATGTGATCCAGTGTTAGAACTGAACAGTGCCTGACTCCTGTGTGCTGGATGTGTATCTCCTTTTCATTTTGCCCCTCTCCAATGCTGTTTAAACAAACCATAGGGGAAGTGTAAGCTGGTATGACAGTGACCCAGTTCTTCCTTTGTTCACATGCAAAATCAATGTAAATACGAAAGTGGATTTACACTGGAGTTACACTTTCGCTCTCATGCCAACTGGGAGGTAAAAGCCACATTTTTAGGTAAATCCCATGTAACTTCTTTGCCACAGAATAACATTAGAACCCTTGGGACAGCACCTTTGCCTGATGAAGGCTGGCAGTCCATCAGGAGCTGGGAGCCATGGCCAGCCCCAGCCAACACAGAGCAAGCCTGGCCACTCTTGCCTTTAAAACAGACACAGTTCACCCTGGCCCCGTGGTGTCTAAACAGTATCTTTGCAGTCAAGATGAAGTGGAACACTGCCTTGTTGTCATTGCCTCCAGGTTTAAGTAACACGAAGCCTCTTCCCCATGTTTTTGGTTAAAATACCCAGGAGATGTGGCAGCAGAACATGGCATCTTGGGCTCAGAGAATGCCCTGCATCTCCTTGTAACGGGCTTGCAATCAGGTATGAATTGAAACACAGCCATGCAGGCGTGGTAGACGCGCTCTCGTCTTGAAACTTTGCAAATTGTGTGCACTTATGTTTTAATACTAACAAAAATTAAGCAATGATTTTATTTTTTATTTGCTCAAGATTCTGAGTACTGTAAATATGGTCTTTGTATAATGCACACAGTGCATGTACAGTACAAAAAATGCTTTTCCCTTGGAGCTGCTCAAGGAGCTTTGCATGCACATATCAATCTCTGCTCATTCACCACAAACCAAGGAGAACAAGCGGGATCTAAGCTGAGATTAAACAATGAAGGGAATTAGGCACATAGACCTAAGGGGCTAGGAGTTCCCAAACACAGTATTCCAGGCCCGCTCTGATAGTTTTGTATAAAACTCTGTCCCAATGATCTGGATTAGGTTTGTTCTCTTTCCTGGGGAGGAGCAATTACTTCTGTCTCTTTTCCAAGCCCATTGCTCTTACCGTGCTCGCTCCTTGTTGCGTTTGGAATGTCAGTCTTACCAGGATTCAGCTGTGAAGCAGTTTTTCAAACCTGCATAAAGATCTTGTTTTCTTATTGGAGCCCTTCTAGAGCTTTATTTTGCATTCAATTTTAAGATATAAAATACTGTTATAAACTTTTCATAATGCCTTGAAGTTGACTGTTGTGTGGCTGAAAGACTTTGTTCTCCTTGGAAGTCCTCATTCTTCCTCATTGATTCTTGTGACTAACATTCTTGTATGGAAAAAGTTGAATGAAACATTGAAAATATCAATGCTGTTTACATGTATTTCTGCCATTCGGTGTATTTTACCTTTTTTTGTTACAGAATCCTGTGTTGTTAAAACCCAATGCCTCTCAGATTAGGGCAAATCTTGAAGGACAGTCTGAATTATTATACACAAAAGGTATATGTAGCTAATTGATTAGAACTTTCCTATTACTATTGTATAATGTGCGCTCCCCAAATTGTTGGTACATCTTTTTTGCTACTGCTAATATTTTTCGTGTTCTCTTTCCTTAGACAAACTCTAAAGCTCTTTGTCCTTAAAGCCTGTGGTAGATTTTCCAATAAAGAAGATTTTACTTCCTCAGTTCAGTTTGCATATAGAGTGGCTTGTCTCCCCAAACAAGAATTAAAATAACACAGATGCCACACCCTTAGTTTACAGAAGTTCATTTACTCATTAACTGAGGGTCTCTTTTCAATTATAACCAAAGCTAATTATACAAAGTTTAAAAAAATCAGGACAGGTAATGTGACTCTTTCTAATAACCTAGCAAACTCAGCATTTTTGAAACCGTAGAAATGTACAATAAATGTATTTGTACTTGAAGTCCATATTTCAAAGAAATATAGTAGTTGGCTCTCACCGGGGCTTAAGTAAATGTTAATACGGAATAAAGCAAGTCTCACTGATTTTTGTTGGCTAAGAATTCAACTTCTTGGTAGTCATACCATCCTTCTCATTTTTCAGAGTCTGAGTTTCTTGTTGTCTTCTATAAATTTATACTATTTTAGAAAAGATTGATTTAGGATTTAAATAAACAATATAACAAATATATCAGAAATTTATTTAAAACTGAAGTGACTTTTCAGGTTTCTCTGTATTTGACCATTTTCATGCAAAACTTTTATCCCGTATGAAAGGAGTGAATTTATCTTTTCCCATTGCCTTCCCTGTTCATTATTTAAGGATGTGATTGGTTGTAGTCACTTGTCTGCAAACAAAACAGTTCATCATTTTTAAGCTTACTACCATATCATGTTTAAATCCATCATTCAAAAGAAATGAGCATTAATTAACATTAGAAGATAATGAGTATTTTTTGTTGTGAAAAGTGTGAGTTCTTGAGAACCTTTTCTACATGCAGTTTTCATTCAAATTCAATTAAAATGTCATTTTTAATCTGATCCATACTTTGACAAAGATGATGTGTAAGAGCTGTTTTTAGCAGTGGGATTGTTACTTTGTAAAGTATTAAAGCACTAAACCAATTTTTGCAATAGGTAGTAAAACTTGCTTTTGTTTTGAAAAAACTTCCAGTTATAACTGTCGCACTTTTTATAGCAGAACTGTATTTAATTTCTTTCTTTTATGAAAGATTATTCAAAGTAACTGATAGCTCTGTAATCTGTGTGAATTGGCTTCTCCATTATTTGAAAGGGAGAGAAGCTATAATGCCTATTCAATAAAATTAACTTATTTCTAAAGTATCTGTTTGCTTGAATTCTTGTGTGTGCTTTTTGTACTCGGCGCTATGCTGGGGAAATGCTGAAGCCTAGAAAAGCAGCAAGGGGCACGATGCAGACGCGGGGGGGGGTGTTAATTGGCTCATCATGAGCTTTTGTCTGCTGCTGTACATTTCACTCAGGTTGATATCAAGATTACTTTGCATAAATTGGGTAACTGAGGCCAAAGCCAGAAATTGGGCGCTGCCGGGCCCGTTTGGCTCTGGTTTGTGTGGAGCACTCCTCGTCCCCTGGCTCCCTGCGCGCAGGGACAGCTGCTGTGGCACAGCCCAGGCCGTGACTGTCACTGCTCCTCGGGAGACCTATGCCCAAGCCATGAGGTGGCAGACAGGGTATTTGTCAAACAGCTGTTTTGACCTACAGCGTTTCTTTAGAGAAATCCCGAGTGGTGAAGAAGTCATGTTAACACGTGGGAAGTTGTGCCAACAGTTAATTAGCCATTTTTATAAAAACTTCTGTTTCTAACCTCACTCCAGCTTCTGCCTTTGGATGTCATTTCACTCCTGACTGACTGAGGAGGTGACTGTTGCCCTGGAATTGCTTCTACCCTCTGGCGGGGGCATCCCATACCCCCCTGTGTCAGGCTAAGCAGCCTGTGCTGTCCAAGGCTGCTGCAAACGCCTATTTACTTTGGGAGTGTAAGGTTTCTCATGCCTGTTCTTCAAGTATCCTCCAGCCTTTTAACATCTCCCTTGATCTGTGGAACCTGAATGAGACTCAAATCTTTTTTTTCTGAAATACACTCCAGCTCCAAGAAGTAGAATTAGACAGCATCTTCTGAATTAGTCTCCGATTCTATAGAAGAACTTAACAGTGTCTGCATTTCAGTAGAAATTTATTTCCCGATTAAAATTATTGTATAGTTTATTCACAAAAGATGTCTTTGGTCTTTCTGGCCCTAAGATGTACACGCAGCTCTCATTCAGCTGCTCTTTGACCTAGTTTTTTTCAGAGTCCTTGGTTTCCTGAGCTGGAGTCCTCCGTCTGGTGAGTATAGCTAATTCTTGGGTTTTTTTCCTAAATGTCTGAGTTAATTCTGATGATATCAAAAACACTTGTACCCAGTTTACTGAGCAAGCCAGATTACTCTGCATTAGCATCCAATAATTTAATCTCCTAATATTATTAATAATTCCTTTAAGCATTTTCCCCGGGTGATTGATAAAACTATTAGTTAGTGTAGGGCTGGCCCTCCCTTTAGACAGTGGATTGGTGATTAATTATATATCAGTTAAACCTCTAATATTTTCAAGTCATTTTAAAAAAAAGGCTTGAAAGGGCCTATTTTTTATAATGTAATACTGATTTTTTTATTTTTACCCTTCTTTCATTCTTGCTTCAAGTTTTATATCAACCATTTTATTATTGTGCCTGTTTTCACAGCGTGTTTACCTTCGATAGTTGCTGTTTAACATCATATTGAATTTGAATTGGGGATGAATCAGACAGTAAAATAATTCAGGGGGGAGAAAAAACATCTTTGAGCATGTTTACCTGTTCTGCAGATCTCAAAGATGTCCATCTACTAATGTGCCAACCTGCCACTAGGATTTTCTTTCTTCCTGGTGCAAACATACTGTACCTAAGGAGAGAAGAGAAGGCCAGGGTCAGCACCCCCAACTCAGCCAAGGTTATGGACTTGCTCAAACCTGTGCATTTGCTGAATCTTTTTCTTAACTGGCATGACTCATTTCTAGGCATATGGCTCTTAAATATAAGGACACTGTAAACTTTCCTGCCTGACCGATTGCTAATGGACTTATTTGACCTTTATTGCAGTGGTACAACAAATAATTCTTGTGTACTCTTTTTGTATTGATTTAAAGGCCAAGCAATCTGTTCAATATGATCACATTCCTGAATCCTTCTAGAGCTTTATCGACTCCAAGAGTGCTTCAGGAAAACACAGGGCAGACTTGCTTGCAGAACTGGAATTTACACTCAAGAAACAGTTTGAGACTTGCTGGGGAAAGGGCATTAAAGCAACATAAGGCTTTACTTGTTGAAATCTAGCATTAGTTGGCCTCCCTGATTGGCATCCTGGCCAAAATCCGAATGTTTGAATTCCTTCAGCTTCTTTTGGAGATTTGTTTCCTTTTCACTGTCTGCCTCTCTTATAAAAAGTTCAAAAGAGGAAAACCAGTGTTAGTAAATTATTGCTTCCTCTGGGTTGCCCTGTCAAATGGATCTGTTTGGGGTGAAGATCCTTCTCCCTGCCTGGAGTGGTCCCTGCACACCCTCTACCAGTGAACCACCTTCTGATCTCCTGTGGGGGGGATGCAGGGAGCAGCGTTGGTGTCACATGCCACGGCACAGAAAACTGGTGATAGATGCTGATTTTTAATAGCATGTAGTGAAAATCTGATTTCTTAACAAAAAGGGAGGAAATAGCCCACATCTGCACAGTGCCGATAGAAAGGATTTCTTCCCAGCCTGTCAGCTTTGTCATAACTGATTCCAATTTTCTTCTGTGGCACTTACACTTGCTTTCTGGTGACTTCAAATCCTATCAAAAGCTACATCATTTACTTCTAATGCTGTTTAAATGTAGACATCATCTTTGCTACAGGAAAACTTTTTTTTTCTAATTTTCATTTGTTTGATTTCTACGTGGATGGCTCAGTTAAACTCCTTGTGTAACTAGGAAGTATTTCTAAAAAGCAGCATTTTTTGGAGCCCCTATGTCATGTGAGTCACATTTCTAAGCCTTGCCTTTTATAAGATCAATAAATTTCAAGAAAGACTGGGTAAACTTTACCCCTAGAACCAGAGGGCAGCTCTGTAGCCAGAATTGTTAGAAGTATATTGTATCTAGGTTATATGACTGGATTTTAATACTTCAGAGAGTTCAGTAAGTAACTACCTTGAAAACAAAAATGTTTTACAGAATTAACCATATGTAAGTGCATATTTGATTTTACTTTACAGAATTGTGTTCAAAAACAGAGTTTTCTTCAGAATATGAGGCTTTGCAGATAAACCCTTCTCTAGTGAAAAGAACTGACTGTTGCACCTCACAGTGAGCCTTTTCACCTTTTATTATTCACGCTTAATACTTTCCCAATCATTTATCTGTTATTCTTCATTGCTTATAGTTCTAGTCTTCAGTTTTTACAGCTGTCTGGTATTTCTACAGGCTATTCCTCATGTGTTGTATTTCTATGCTGAGTTATCACCACATTGGAAAGACTCCCTCTACTTGTAACACAATTGCGATGTTTTTCTTCATGTAACCACATCTGTTAGAAAAAAGTACATTTTAAAGAACAAATTGAGAACCTTTCCCCAAAACTCCACCTAACCTGGATGTCTTGCTAAAATAAAGCTGTTAATATTGTTAACTCAAAGGAAGCAAAATGAAAGTAGTTTGTGCAACCTAACATAGCTGTAAAACTAGCTATTGTCCCCTAGGAGGGACAACGAAGACTTTAAGGAGAAAGCAGACCTTATGGGGCTATAGTAGGAGCTGATAATAATGGTCTACAAGACTGCTAAATAGCTAATCTAAACTCACAAAGTGCCATGAAACCAAAACAAAAAAATGAACAAAACCATGATTATTATTACTGTGATCGTAGTATTTGCTCCAATGTCTAGCTAGATGCAGCATCAGAACCAAGAAAAATCTGACTGAGGAAGCAAAGGCCAAGGCAGTTACCTGAGGTCCTGGGGCTGGAGAGATTCCTAAAGAATTCCCAGCCTCCCTCTATTGCTCCCCATTTTACACTTGCAAGATGAAAATACTGTCTTTCTGCACAGAAACATTATGCCACTCTGTTCACTCAAGAAGGTCACAGAACCATCTGAATAGAAAGCCATGTGGCTCAGCCCTCTGCAGAATAATACTAAATTTACTTCCTTTGTTCCACAGCAAATCATCTTCAGGATGTCTACAAAGACTGAAAACTCTTGGAGTGACTGGAAGGAAAGCAAGGCAGACCCAAGCAGCCATACCTCTCACACAAGATTCAACAGCATGTAAGTTTTGCTATATTCAAGTTGTTTTTTTTTTAAATGTAAAATACCACACATTAGACTTCATCTGCCAGTTATAATAAAAAGCCCTGATTATTGAATTGAAGTGAGTAGCAAGGAAGTAGAGCAAATGGCAGTGGTTAGTGTGGGACCCCGTTATGAATACATTTAAATTAGTAAGTATATGAGTACACTTACCATAGGTAAAACTGATAAACATAACACAAAAGAGTCCCATTAGATTTGAAGTCCAATGTCCTGCCTGGGCAGTCAGGAGGAGTTTCGACTTCTCTGCTCTAGAACTGAACTTGATTTGAAGGTAAGTACAAAACACTGGAATTAGTCAGTGATGGGAATGTAACTGCAGGGGAAAATTCCTTTATCTCTTTTTGCATTACTTCTGGGTAACATTCTCCAAAAGACATGATTTATGTGAACTGAGAAGAATCATGAGTTTAATTTGGCATCAGAGTTGGTTGTAAAATCTGTTATTGACTTCTTGTCTTCTGCACAGTATTCCAGGAAAACAGAAAACTGGCAAATGTACCATCTAGGGGATTTTAAATGTTGACAGAAGGTTCATGTAAAAAATGTTGCTTTTTTCTTTAAAGAAGTTTTTTTAACTTAAGAAATTAAAAAGAAACAAAAGGAAGTTGTTTACAGACTTTAACTCAAATTATGGATGTGTGACTACATAAAAAAACCAACTACTCCCTGACTTTTTCAACAAAGTTTAAACAGCTCTGTAGCCCACCCTTTTTGAAAAGCTGACGCATCGCTTGTGTTGATGATTTTCCAGAATTTCCAGGTTCTAGCTGGGATTTAATACACTAAGCAGGACTTTGCAGACGGCTGGTTAATATGCTACCAAGGATTTTATAAATTTGCCTCAGAACTAAAGGATGTGTAGGGCTGAGGGAGTGGGACACATCTGTGAAGAGAGGCAAACGGCACTAATTTGGCTCCAGCGCCCAGATCTGTTTCCCAGG